GTGTACTTTTGTTTGAAGGAAGGTTATTTGCAGTGTCTAATTTGTTTATCTCCTTCCTTGATGCAAAAGTTGAATATCTCTTCCTTGACTACCTCTGTATTTGTTCAAGAAAATATGAATTTTCCTATTCCTTTTTTTTTTTTTTTTTTTTTTAAATGTTGGTCATTGAAAGATGAAGATTTTCTTTATGCTTGTTTTAGTAATTTTGAACCATGTTTTAATGAAGTTAAAAATTGTCAAGATTGAAAATTTTCCGCATATAAGAGTTTTCTTTTTCTAAAACTTTAGTTTATTCTTGACAATTATTTATCTCATTTAAGGGGAAGGTATTTTCTATATATATATATATACACGAGTCTTGAAAAGTTTCAAAATATTTGTTTAAAGCATTAATTGAAGATTTTAAAATCTGTAAAGAAATTTTTAGGTAACAAGTATTGCGACATACATGGAACTCTTTTTTATATAGTTGGTTGCAAAAGGTTTTGTTATGCCTTGTACACCTAAACAGAATGGGATGGCTGAGAGTCATAGTTGCACTATTAAAGGTATGATGAAATATTGTTGATATGTATTCTATGAAATGTAATTATTCGTGATAGCTTGTGTTTTCTCTTATTAAAGTTATACTCATTGGTTATAGATGAGTGTTTAAGCTAAAAGAGATTAAAAAACATATTAAATTGTTTTATGGCTAGGTTACTAGCTATGAGCTTCACATAAGGAGTATATATTTCTTGTAGAAATGTTTGTCCTCTAATGAATTATGCTCTCATATTTTTTTAGGTCATTGGGAGGATTTTTAATTTCTTTTGGTTGACTATATTGGATAGATTTTCTTTAATCTAGATATAAATCAATGAGTGGTATTAAAGAAACTTATGAGTTTTTATTATTATTATTATTATTAAAGACTATTTGTTTTATGCTCACATGTGGTATTTCTAATCTCTTGAGAGATAATTAGAAATGGTGGGCTCACTAAATCAAATGTCTTATTGTTTAATGAGTTTTGGTATATGTTTTAAATGGCTTATAGGGCTGTTTCAGATAAATTCTTGAAGGGTTGTATATATTTTATGTCTTTAAAAAAAAAAAAAAAAATATGGTCAAGAATTATGATTATGGTTGAATACATGCTACAGTGGTAATAAGGGGTCGAATCTAGTGATGCGGGTCACTAGCAGCCTGATGGACCTGCGAGGAAAATAGCAAAGGTCGTGGAGACTTGGGATGGAATAATGCTAGGGTTTTACAACGGAATGCTAAGGCTTAGGGGAACCATTATGAGAGGGTTTGTCTATGTTTATATAGTGAACCTTGAGGGTTCCCATCCCAAAAAGATCTCAAGTCCTATTTTTGGAGGAGTTATCTTCCAGGCAGAGATATGATTCCTCGCCTTTATCGGATTAGGCTCACCAATTTCAACAAGAATATAGGTCTTACTAGAAGAGGAAGCAGAATTAGATTTTGATTCTCTGTTTATCGGACTGTTGTGGGCTGATGGGCCGGAACCCAGTCAAGCTTAATTTGCAGGGTAGCCCAACTCGTGGAGAGGGCAATTCGCAAATTAGATTTAAGCGTGGGTCCAGCCAGAATTGGGCTAAGGCCTTGGGCCGTAACATGTTTATTTTGTTATTGGACATTGTTAGGTATAATACGATTTTTGGCCCATATAGTTGTTATGGCTAATTCATTAACCAAAGTGTTAAACCTGTTAACTACTATATACATGTGATAACATGTGTTTTGAGTTTTGATGCATTTGGTTAGTAGGAGTTTTTATTCAGTCTATTACATGATATCATTTGTATTTGTAATAAACTGGATATCATATTTGTTTTTGTATTGTTATTATATAATGTCACATGCATGTGAAAGATATTTTACATTGTGACAAGTTGAACTAAAGATTGTTGACCTCATTGTTTATATGAGTTGTTAGCTTGTTTTCCTGTATGGAAGTGTTTTGTTGTCACTTTAGATGCATATGGTTTTCTTTTCACAATAAGTGACCGTGACAGTTTAATATTAACATTTGAGGATTGTTGTAGAGTACACTAGTACTGGATTTATGTTGACTGATCCCTTAACTGGAGGACTAAGACTTGTCTCTCTTTTAAACGTTATGTATTGAACATGGTTGTTATAAGGTCTTTTGATGTGCCAAGTTAGTGGGACTTTGTTGTAAAGTAGTTAACTAATGACATTTATTTTCAATTAAGTTAACGTATTATGATCATGATCATTGTGTCTAGTATACTTATTTGTATATATACATATGCACATATGGTATGGTGGACAACATAATACAGCATTGTGTCTCAAGAATAAGATTTTACTTGAGAATGACAATTGTATGAGTATGTTTCATATTTATATTTGGAGATAATTGTTGAAGCATACTAGCTTCATTGGAAGTTGTAGATCTAGCTTTTCTAAGAAGCATAAAGATTGTAGAGAGATCATAAAGAGTACTGACAGGGGAATAACACATGTTTTGTTTTGATCACTTGCTGAGTGTTATCCCTGCCACACTCCCAGACTACTAATCCACGTGATCTGGTTATTAGTAATTGTAATCATGGATTGATTTTATGTCGATATAAAATGTAAAGATTGTTTTGTTTCATTATTGATAATCATATTGACATGATTATTGGTCGAAGTGTTATCTCTAGACTATTCGTTTTCTTAAAATAGTGACCACTTTAAAATAAAATGTTTGTTTGCCCAGAGTCAAAAATCATTTTCTTTTATTAAAACAAACCAAAAACAATTCATGTTGCCCAAGTGGGAGAATGTTAGAAAATTTCCTAATTATGGGCCAACATGAATTATATTTTGATTTAATCAAACCAGGCAAATATATAGTTCAATGAGATGTCCTAATGGGCTTATGTGATCATTCCAGAATTTGCCCAAAATACTTGATTTTGAATAATCAAGGTTTTACTACTAGTGTGAGCTTGAGGCTGTAATGAGCTTCAAGGTTTATTAGGTTTTTAATGGGCCGGTCTAATAGACTAATATAAATTGACTAGGTCCTCTTTCCAAACGTAATCTGCATAACTTAACCCATTTATTAGTCGTCATTAAGCGTGCGTTATGGGGAAGGAAGACTTACGCTCTCTGTGCCAAAAGGAAAAACTGCCACTTCTTAAGATTCAAAGACAATAATCAAATCAGGTTTCTCTTAGAATCTTTTACGATTAATTGAGTATTCTATAATCTATGTGTTGATCTTTTGTGATATCAATAATAAAGATTGATTTATGTCTTAAGTCTTAAGGTTGATTTATTATTGATTAACTGATTTTCTTACAATTAAGACATAATATGTGATTGCCTTTGAGATATTACATTTGTATAAATAGCCCCTCTTCTTCTTTAGCTTTTGACATTATCTTCCATGCTTTCTTCACAATTTGTTTTGGATTGAAGATAGTTAATGAATGGGAATCGTGAATGTCAGTGTTGCGCTTTTGACATTATCTCCCATGCTTTCTTCACCATTTGTTTTTGGTTTGAAGATAGTTGTAATGAATGGGAATCGTGAATGTCAGTGTTGTTGCACTTTCTTGCGCGCGTGCGCGCTCGAGGGGGGGTTGGGTTGTCGGTTGTTTTGGAGAGTGGACATCCAAATTATAGGGGTTTAGGGTGAACCAATGACGATGGTTTTTTGTGAGGGAGAGAGGTTGGGTTCATTTATTTTATTTACAAGCCAACTTACTTAGATAAGTAGCCAATTAAATTCAAGACTCAATTTGTTAACGTGTCTTTTAGGAATGTATCTTTTTTAACTCTTCCGTGTTTCAACATCATAACTGTAGTGTTTGTTAAGTTATTTAAGAGACAAAATCTACTCTATTTTCATAATGGGAACATAAATGTCGACTTAAATTCCAAAGGCTATTAACTGTGCATTCAAGCTGTAATGACTTGAAAGATTTAACTCAAAAAAAAATAATAATAATAATAAATAAAATTGTGAAATGAAAGAAATCAGGTCCATTTACTTATCTGCCTTTGGGGCCTCTGTGACGGAAACGGCCCAGTGAAGTCCAATCCAACAAAGTATAAACTGGGTTTGTTTTTGTAGTCAGGAACTTAAGGCCCATGACAAGTTTATCTTTTATCTGGACTAATATAATTAATAATTTGTCATAAATAAAATATTTCTTTACAATAATTATAAATCATAAGTACAAGGGATCAAGATTAATAAATATTCAGAACCCACATAATTTTTTTTTTTTTTGGGGAGGGGGGAGGGTATGGTAATTGGTGGTCAACCCTTACACTTACTACAACTTAAACTCAAGATCTTTTTGTCTCTTAACTCTTCGATTCATCCTTCGCTTCATCAGGTTATAAGGGTGTTTAATCCACGTAATATTTGGGCACAATAAAGTAAAAATAAAGATACTAAATAACAGTGATGTTAAAGAGCTGGCAGCATTTTGTTTGTGTCGTGACCTGACCTAAAACTTTAATTAGGTTGAAGTACATTGAAGGGGCAAGGGCGCAAGGCAACCATCCAAATTTAAGTTGATCACTTTGATTGATATTTGAATCAAACATTGAATTATGAAGGGGGCAAACTAGGTTGGAGCAACTTCCAACATACGGCCCTCCAATTTTATTTATTTATTTGTAGTTAAGTTGGATCCTATCCTCCAATATTAATTATGATGTTAAGTGACAATCATGAGCATTTGACAACAATTTTCAGCAAAATAAATAATATATAATTCCTTTAATTTTATTCTGATATATACTATACTTATACATTTATTAATCCATATAAGACCCGTTATTAAAACAAACTAAAAAAACTGTATAGAATTGCAATAATTTAATATATATATATATTTTTTTTTTAAATGACGTGGCAGAAAGTCCGTGAAAAGTGGATGAAGCTGACTAGGTGCCGGTGGAGGGTTTGAGCCACACTTTTGACATTTCCCTGAGTATTTCATACCAATTCCAACTGTCACGACTCTTCTCATTGCTCTCGTTTTTCCTTCCCTCGATACCTCGCTTTTCTTTCATTTCCTTTCTCTCTAAGCAACTCTTCTCTCACATGCATTCTCATTCTATTCTTAACATTGAAATCAATTACTCTCCGTCCTAGCTCAGCCCGCCCCGGTCCGAGCCCATCAAATGCATTCTCTCACCACCCCTACTATTGCCACCAAAGCCGACGCCGCCGCAGTAGCTCCGCTTCAGTCCCTTCTTGACATAATCACAAACCTCGTCTCTCTCCTCCTCCTCTCATCTCTCAGCGTCCGATCGTTCGTCGGACGGTGGCAGATCCTCCGTACCAAACTCATTTCTCTTCAGTCTTCTCTCTCCTCCATTTCCGACTCCCCTCACTGGAGTGAGAACCCGCTTCTTCACACTCTCCTCCCTTCACTTCTCTCAACTCTCCAGCGCCTCAAAGCCCTCTCCGACCAATGTACTCTCAGTTCCTTCACCGGCGGGAAGCTATTAATGCAGAGCGACCTCGACATCGCTTCCACTTCACTCTCTAACCATCTTCGTGATATTGATTTGTTACTCAGATCTGGAGTCCTCTACCAATCAAATGCTATTGTTCTCTCGCAGCCAGGTCCCGCCTCTGATAAAGAAGACTTAGTGCTGTTTATCAAAGATCTTTTCACAAGATTGCAAATCGGTGGTGTCGAGTTCAAAAAGAAAGCTCTAGAATCACTGTTGCAGCTACTAATTGATGATGAGAAATCAGCGTGTTTGGTTGCTAAAGAAGGGAACATCGGATACTTGATTACTTTACTTGATTTTCACCATCAGGGTTTGATTCGAGAACAGGCGGTTTTGGGTCTATCAATTGTGGTCTCAGCGAGTGATGAGTCAAGAAAGATTGTGTTTGAGGAAGGAGGACTCGGTCCTTTGTTAAGAGTTCTTGAAACAGGGTCTATGATCCTGAAAGAAAAAGCTGCGATTGCTATTGAGGCTATAACCATCGATCCTGAAAACGCCTGGGCTGTTTCAGCATACGGCGGCGTTTCGGTCTTGATGGAAGCGTGCCGATCTGGATCGGTCGCTACTCAGACACATGCAGTGGGGGCGATTAGGAATATTGTGGCCGTGGAAGATATTCAAACTACTCTAGCTGAAGAAGGCGCTGTACCGGTACTGGTCGAGTTAATGGCTTCAGATTCTAATAGTGCAAAAGAAAATGCAGCTCATTGTATAGCCACACTCGCTTCTTCAGGTGAGTACTTCCGCGTTTTGATTATTCGAGAACGAGGGTTAGAAAGACTGATGCATTTGATTCAAGATTCTTCGTCAAGTTTAGCTACAGTCGAAAACTCTTTGCGTGCAATCAGTTCACTTTCTTTATCAGATTCCGCGGCAAGAATCTTGTCATCTTCAACCTCATTTATAATCCAACTGGGGGAATTTGTCAAGAAGGGGAACATGTTATTACAGCAAATTTCGTCTTCATTGATTGGTAACTTATCTATCAGTGATGGTAACAAGCGAGCTATTGCAAACTGTATGGGGTCTTTAGTGAAACTAATGGAGTGTCCGAAGCCGGTGGGGTTACAAGAGGCGGCAACACAAGCGATTGTGTCAGTGTTGACCGTGAGGTCGAATCGGAAAGAGCTGGTGAGGGATGAGAAAAGCGTGATGAGATTGGTGCAGATGTTGGATCCGAAATATGAGGCTGTCAATAAAACGTTCACAGTGATGGTGGTTGCGGCGGTGTTGAGTGGAGGAAGTAACGGGTGTAGAAAGAGATTGGTGGCTGCTGGAGCTTATCAGCACTTGCAGAAGTTGGCGGAGATGGAGGTCGCCGGAGCCAAGAAGGTTTTGCAGAGACTCGCCGGGAATCGGCTCAAGAGTATTTTCAGCCGGACTTGGAGGGAATAATTGAAAGAAAAAAACTAACCCCGCCAACTCAGGTACGATTTTTTTCTAAAGGTTATAAATGGAATTTTAGGTTTATTTTTATTTTAGGTGAAGCTTCCTAGGAATAGGAGTGTAGCTACTGTAGCAGGCTACTTTCTTCAATTTTAGCGCCTTCTAATTGTCAAAAGACAATGCTGTCCTTAGGTTAAGAATGGTGAGAAGACTTAACCAATAGCCTATTGCCAATTTTAGGGCCTTTTTACTGTTAAAAGACAATGCTGTCATTAGGTTAAGAATCATGAGAAGACTTAACCTATAGGCTTTTGCCATGTTGTTGACCATTAATCCTGATATATTTGTAATCACAAAGAATTTATATTTAATATAATATATGAAATAAACACCGTCCGTCGACATTAATAATGTCAAAGTTCAACTATAGACTCATGAGCTTATCTTTGAAAGGAAAATGTGGACCGACCCCCAAGGACTGGTCAACACGTGATACACGTTATACTTGCACTGAGTATGAATATTTTAACATTTTATATTTTTCTGAAGTGTGAAATTGATCTTATAATACAGGAGGAAGAGTCCGTTCGGATTTTGTAACCGTCGAACAATACAGCAACTACCTATTGGGCAAGCGACAAACAAACACAGACCTCGAATACTTAACCTTTTTTTTTTTCACCTTATTATAATTTATAAAGTAATTTTTATACAGTTTAAAAAAAGATTAATTATTTTAATTAATATGACAAAAAGCATGGATGCGGTTTTTTAGGGAGTATCCTCGTTTTTTTTTTTTTAAATGAAAAATTGATTCACTCATGAAGCTGAGCTGTAAGTGAGAGCAAGAAGTTATGATTGTTATTATTATTATTTTTTAATATTTGGATGAATCTTGTTTGATAATGTACATGGTTAGTGGCAACTGTTATTGTATTTGTTTTTACTTGAAATAGTGTGGATTATGATGATTTTATCAGAAACATTGATTCTCCTTTTGTCTGGTTTTGCTTGGTTTCTTGTATGATGATAATAATGATGATGATGGTGAATGTTGATTGATATGGACAGACGTTGCTGATTTACAAAGGTGTACCTGATGCTACATCTATAACCCACCAATGCTTTAGGAGCTTTATTGCTTCCTTGGTGACGGTCATGGAAATCAATGGTAATTAGTATAGTCTTTAGTTTCGCTTCATCAGATTTTGGTAGGGGACCCCCCCCCCTTTCCTCATGCTTAGTTTTGAGTTGTATGATCACTGCATCACAAGTCGTAATTCATGGATCAAACGGTACTGATGTCATTGGAATCTGAAAAGAGAAAAAGAAGAGGAAGGCTCGGCGCAGATATAGGGAAGTGAGGAATTGGGGGTCCCCAGGCCAGGGATGTCACATGGGAAAGAATTTACAACTACATATAGATATAATAAGATGGAAGATGTGTGGACCATTTCATTGTCACATGCTCGTTTTTGTAAACGAAGGAATGGGTACCCGTGCCCTACTCTACTCTGCATCTGATACGACTAAAGAAAAGTGAATAACTTTTTCTTGTTATATTTCTCGTGATATTGATGTCTCTCTTTAAAGCTGCTGCATAAACCAAGCTGTAAAGCTTCACACTTCGTTTCACGGTTTCTTATTTTTCCCGCCATTGTTCTCATGGTTGCGTTTACTATGCTTCCTTCTACTTTCATTGATGCTTTCAACCATGTATATTCCGATTCCTCCAGCTATCTTAGCTATGCCATTTCAAGTGTTATCTTGTTTACAAGTTAGTTTCTATAATATTGCTGTTTCAACTTTGCAGCAAAGTGTTGGAATAATTAACCATTTTTGCTTTTCTTGGGCATCCACTGATATTAGTTGGTGTTTATTTGGCAAACATAAAATGAATCTAGGATATGTTTAGCTTTATACTTTCTTTCTTTTTCTTTATGTAATTCTAGTTTAGTGGTAGAGACTGGACAATATCTTGTTTATTAAGGTTGGTCTTGGTCACATAACTTTATCGATATGCTGATTTAACACATCCATTCTCCCTTCCCTGGTGTGGAGCATATTTATGGTGGACTATTTAACTCAAACATTTGCTTCGTCCCTGTTGGATTTTAATCTGCCAATGCATATCTGGTAATATAAAGGTCTTAGATTGAGTTGTTTACCAAGTGATTTTTCAATGATGTCCCAGGAATACATGGTTTTAACGTTTTCATTGTTTCTTTTCCTCACTTTCACACATGCAATTAGCATGAAGATTGGCGCCAGGTCAAACTGAAACATTACGAGCAACTTACTCGCTTTCATCGTTTCACATATGCAATTAGCATGAAGATATCATCAGGACTTATTCGTCGACAGTCTGTTAAACTTTTAAATAACTCATCTTTGGATTACAAAATTAATCATACATTTCATCTGTCTACAATATTTTCAAAGTATATTAAAGGCAATGTTCATTTGTTAGAAGCATTTGTATACCACATCTACCGTCCTCTTCCTATATATATCTAGAGCCTATTGATAATGGCTGTAAGTATGTTTGAGTTCCGTTGTTAGCAATTAAATAAAAAAAGAAAACAAGAAAATTCACAATAGTGTTCATGAGGCTAAAGCGAGTGTTCTATTTCAATCCGCATGCATGTATTTATTAAATTTGGTCTACCAGAACTAAGCAACTCTGTTAACTAAGTATAAACAAGCATACACAAACCTCTGCTTTGTTTTCCTAAATTAAGCCATACGCTTTGCTATAATCTTGTTTTGATTCTGTAACCACAGTTGTTGTTCATGCAATACAATTTGGTTATTTGGAGACCCATTATTGATATGCATATGGTTGTCACCCATGCACGACTCAAAAGGATCATCTTCAATCTGCATTGCCATTGTAAATGGGTCAACATTATGTTCAAATGTTGGGGTTGCCCGAAATGTTGGAGCGGCTGAAAAAGTATCTGTAGTGATTTGAAATTCTTCTTGTTCACTATTGACAGTGGTTGATACATCCATTGCATCTTGTAGAAATGGATTATATGGTTGCTGATCAGGCGAAGAATTAGTTTGATGAATGAAATTGTCCGAAATTGATGCATTGGTTAAAGTTTCTGATTGTTGTTGTGTTGCAGTTTCAGCAAGCATAAGCTCCCACTCATTTCTTTCATGTTGTTGCTGTTGATTATGCTCTTCCGTCGTGCAGTCGTCTAAAAATAAAATATCCAAAGTCATATCTTTGCATTGATCGAGGGACATAGAATGGTTTGATATAGTATCTATGGTACAAATATTGTCATATTCTTGTTGATCAGATCGTGAAGATGAACAATATTGCTCAAAAGATGCACTCGGGCTTGTTCCTAGCGAATCAAATTCAGATTCTCTTTCTGTTGGTCCTGATGATTGATCACAAATATATTCATCACCAGGTTCAGAACTTGATGAACAAGGGTCCTTATTATCAGGTACTGGTGGCGCTGGAAGAAGCATTACTGGTGATCTGCTCCTATTTCTAGGGAAAGAAGCTTGGTCTTTCAAGAATTCTTTCAATGTTTCAATAAGCTCATCTGATACCTTTTGTACACTCGGGTATTCGGAGGTTCTTCCAATCCCAATACTCTTACACAATGCATAAAATGAACAAAGCTCTTCAAATTGTTTTGAAGCCTTGACACAAGCCTGGAACGCACTCGCACATGATTCATATTGTAGATGGAAGAAATTATCTAAAAGGAGCGCCAATGCATCAGATATATCCCTGTATAAGTCAAAACTTTCTTGTACAATTGCATACAGAGAAATCTGAACCAGTTTGTTGCTTTTGGCTGCACCAGTTGGTCTTGTACCAATGGCTCTATCAAGCAATCTTTGCCAACTTGATATTCTGTCAATTAAAAGTGTTGGTTTCATGTCAGTAACAGGTTTGTGGCATCTCCCAGCTCCACCATTCTCCTTTTCTCGATTTGTGTATCTTCTTTGAAGCTTCCCTGAAAGAAAACAATCTAAACGTTCATCAAGATAGATGGCAAAAGTCCTAACAAAAGCAGTATAATCCCAGGGGCTTGACTTGGAGTCATCTCTAAAATTTGTAAGGTTGAGAATCTTGTGACCACGTTTCATTGCATTACTAATTTCTCTAGGGAAAAAAGGGTCACCATCATGAAATATTTTAAGAATAAGCATGAGGGACTTAAGAGCAACAATCCAATTCCGAGTCCTGCCTATTCTCTTGGCAATGACTTGTGCACAAGCCACAACATGAACTTTGTTGGAAGAAATCAATTGAAGCAATTCGTTAAGGTAGCGGTCATCAACCGGAATTTCATCATGTCTGGTGGCCTTAAGGATTATAACTTCAACGTTTGATGGCGTTGATTTAGAAACCTTGGCTAATCCAATGCTTGTTTGATCTTTAACTGCCCCAATTGCCTTCTTCAGCTTGCTTGGCATATTTTGTTCAATTCTTTCCTCAAAGCTGTAGTGGGTTTTTTCTTGTGAAAAATGATCAATAACGAGGAGGTGATTTTGAAGGATTTTTTACAGGAAATTTTTTAATATGGTAGAGGGAAGGTGATTATTTTTTATTTGGATGGTGAAAACTATTGAGACAGCCTTAAACTTTTAGCTAAATCGGTTTTATTAATTATGAAGAATTGTAAGTTTCGTTGACCAAGTCAACAAATCAGTTAAATGAATGATAACACTTAACGCGTGTATTCCAAATATCTAGATGAACCATTGATTGCAGCCGTATAATTCTGTTGAATTTTAACTTCCAACCTACGTGGCCCAATGGTTCGTCATGAGGCTATATGGGCTGGGCTGGGCTGGGCTGAGCTAAGCCTATTGGTTGCTACACAATTCACACAAGCTTTTCGCCAAATCCTCAAAACCCATAAATACACATTAACAATTGAGATAACGCCCTATTATTGGATAAGAGTAGTGCTAAGTTTATCGTAAACCTAACATAAACTTNCGCGTGTATTCCAAATATCTAGATGAACCATTGATTGCAGCCGTATAATTCTGTTGAATTTTAACTTCCAACCTACGTGGCCCAATGGTTCGTCATGAGGCTATATGGGCTGGGCTGGGCTGGGCTGAGCTAAGCCTATTGGTTGCTACACAATTCACACAAGCTTTTCGCCAAATTCATAAATATACATTTAACAATTGAGATAACGCCCTATTATTGGATAAGAGTAGTGCTAAGTTTATCGTAAACCTAACATAAACTCATCTTCCCTAACTGTGAATGAAAGATTACGGCATTTTTAGCACCAGCTCTTGCTAAAAAAGTTTGTTCATGAAATGAGTAATCTAAAAATACTAAAAACTTAACCTCAGTTGATATGGATCTAAAAGACAGAGAGAGGATTGGACTTTGCAGAAGGGAACAAAAAAATGGTAAATAGGAGAGTGAATAATAGAGTGAGAACATGTGAAAATTTAGGGAAGCGGAATCTCTGATAAAAGATTTGATACTTGTATTTTGTAACCCGACATATCAGGTGCTGTATGTACTATCTGTCTACATTCAATATATATATATATATTTAACTAAAAGGTAGAAAGTTGAACATAAACAAGAGGAGGCGGTTCTTATATTTTAATGATGGTGAGTAACACTAAGACATATAGCATCGTTGTGGGTAGGTTGAGTTTATGTAATGCACATGGGAACAACTCTCTCAATAAACTAAAGAAAATAACTCCCACTTTTTGATTTGTCAAAGACCATTGTCGTTTCGGATTGTGATAAAGTTTAAAACTTTGAACAACTTTTCCAATTTCTACTACTACATTCATCATCATGCTCCTTATCTATCTCTCATTGTAACTATAGATTCGGCTGCCCTCACACTTCAAATTTAATGGATTAATTTGAATTGTATGTATATTCTTAAATTAACTGTACAAACAAAATGCATAATTATTCAATCAGGATCCAAGGTAACTTTATGTTGATAGCTAGTAGTTGGACCTAACAAATTAACCCTCTTTCCAATTTTCCAAGTAGGACCAGCTGCAAAGTATTTTTCATTGCTTATTGTCATTTTATGAGTTATCTCTATTCATACTAGCAATAAATTCAGTAGAGGTCAAAACTGATGGCTTCTGCCTTTGGTATATCTCTCTTACAACTGGAATCCAGTGGGAACTTACCTCATATTTGCGTCAACAAATAGTTTCTCCCTCTGCCGAACCCAGTTGCTAAGTAAGAAGAAGCTAATATCATTCGTGGGTTACAACATCATAGTAAGTTCCCCTAATGCATATAGCATAACCATGGCAACTGATGCATATCAATAAAAAATAAACGTTTATACCTTAAGAAAATGAGTAAACGACATTTTCCCACCCAAGGTTTGGTGAATCTGCAAGTTCTCCTCCTAGTTTCATAAATTATAGATTTTCACCCTAAATTAACATTGTAATAACCCCTACATCTCAAATTTCTATCAAATAACCCCTAGAGGATCCCGGCCAAGCCAAAATTCTAGTCTGATTATGGCGCCATTGGACCTCCCTGACACCACCACCAGCATCCCCTTATTCTCCTCACCAAAACTCCTAACTTTTTCACCCGATTGCACCTCGATGAGGTGCTGGATTTTGGCTGGAAAGGTGCGACAAAATGCAAAAACCTAAAGGAGAGGCAACGGGGATCGACGGGCAATTGCAGTTGGCGATGTTGGGGGTTTTGATGGGGGAAAGCCGATGATGCTATTGGTGGGGCTAGGGGTGGTTTCCAGTGCCGGGACTTGTCGAAATTTGGATGAAACGCCGATTGAAACTAAGAACGACGGTCGGCGATTGGGGAGTTCAATTAGACGGGGAGGTTAGGGGTTTTGATGTGGGGGTTGAGGGAATTGTAATGGTGGTATTGGCAG